AATAATAAACGTGTTGTCCCTTTTATCAGAAAGACTGCTGATCGTTCGATTTATAAATTGTTCTTACTTGTTTATATTAAATCGTTTTGATGAGAGTTAAGAATGGAGATATTAAAATATAGATTGATTGAGGATTATTTGTTTTTGAGCCGACTTCAAAATGAAAAATGCACCACTAGCCAAGTTAACATTGAACCCTTTTGGTTCTTTTTTTGTTTGTTTGAAAGATTATTTAAAAATAAAAATAATAAGTGCATATAAACAATGCATTTTCAATCATTAATACTCCGATCCGTATTAGAGGGTCATGAGCTATCCTCCTTAACCGTATGGGCTGATGAAGATGATGATGATGAGGAAATAATGTTTATTAGTATTGATACATAATTTATTGGTTTAAAAGTTATAGACACAATAATCGTAAATAGTTTGCGAGTTATTAATTAAAAATAGTTTGTTTACGCTTGATTCTCCATCCTCCGCTTTTATCTATCTCAGTAATTATCTTATTTAAGTTCATCTCTCCATCCAAAGGTTGTCTGGAAGAGATCGCTGTTTAGTGATTAGACCACCGATTGTGACACATAGCTTAATATTATTCTTTGTATGTTTTGTATTTCGTGTTTACAACAAAGTGTCATCTATCGATTTTTTAAAGAAATTCTCTTTAGATGCAACCTTAAGTTGGCAAAGCCTGATCAATCAACCTCAGTTGATGTATTTTCGCAATACTAGTTCAAATACATAAATAAAAAGGTATAATTTGGTGATTTCAAAGAGCAAAGCAGTTATCGTTAAGGTATTGTTCCACTACTACGCATGCTACGCTTTGTATAAAAATATGGCACCAAAGAACGTACAAAGTAGAAAAGAACTAGATCGAATTTGTACTTAGAAAATATTTGTTTTATTTACGCTTCATTGTACAACACACTACAGAAATTTACAAAAAAATACAAACATAAAGTCCTTATTGCACAATAAGTGGCTTTTAATTTGGAGAAGAAATCATATGCACACTAATAAATAAGCTCTCGCTATATAGGATGTGTATCTTGCAAAATTCTACTTTATATTCCTCTGGCTATCTTTATCATGAACATATTATTATTCTCATTGAACATACTATTAGATTACAGACTTCCCTTCAATGGAAACAAATCGAAATTTTAAAAATAGAGAAGATGAGCATAACCCACATTGGAGATTCAGTGCGTATTGATTGACTGCAGATGCAGTGGGAACTAAGAGCTTATCGTAACCCCCCGAAAAATGGATGTGCTCAAGATTATAAAATTTTGGTCCTCCATCCTGTGATCGGCCTTTGCGAAAGTCAACATTACATCGGTTCCTTAACTTGCGCTTCGCAGACTGAAAGCGCAAATTATTATGCTATCGGGCTCATATAGCTATAGTTTTCAGAAAAATAATAACAATCTTCTATTAAAACAACAGTTGTATTAATATATATAGAAGGACAGAACCTAAAACACGAGAGTTATTTTCTTAGTAGTCATCTGCTTCGAGTTTATCATCAACGGGTTTGCGTGAAGCTGAGAAAACGATACGAAATTGCAACACGAGTAAACATAGACGATGGCATAAAACAAAAAGCTGCTGAATAAAGCACTAAAATTTATATTTAACTGACTTCCAAAAGGAAGAGGTTCTATTTTCTATTATAGGTTTGTAGGATGTTTACTAATTTTCGTATATTTTGCTTAATCATAAGAGTCTTAAATAACTAGTACCTATAACAACAACAATAACAACATAGAAACAATATGTATATTATATTGACTCTCATATCTCATATACCGTATCCAGATCCGTAATTTTATAATCATAGCATCCCAGAAATATATCTAATTATCGCAGTGGAGTCTAACCCTTGTATAATTAGTATCTCCAACACCACCATCGAAATAAAAGCAAAATATTACTTATTTGTATTCTAATCTTTCAAATCACTCGAAATTATAGTATCCGTAACCGAAAGTAAAAATCTGAAAGCAGCCACCGTATCTAAATCTGAAGTAATGAAAGCTATTATATCCGTATCCGTATTCAGATCCTACATTCCGTATCCGAAACTGGAGTAATAAAAACTTGTATATCCGTATTCAGATCCGATATTAATTCATGCCGATAACATCCCTGACAATTGATTCGCTTTAAATGCCATGGTTGTTTTTGTTATACTTGATTTGTGTTGGCAATTAAATTTGCATTTTACAATATTACAAATACATTATTGAAAAGGAAATTCTACAGACGAATATGGTAGTTCTAACTAAAGTAAAGCTTATATAGAGGTATAGAGATCAGTAGATTACCTATTAGCAAGTAGGTAATTTTAACTAATAGTATACATGATAGTAAATTGTAAAGTAAATTAAAAGGTAGTATAATAATAAATAGGATATGCTCAATAAAAAAAAACATGTTAAATACGTTTTAATCTATTACACAGTATAAAACAAAATTGCTTCCAGCTATCTGTACGCTGTAATCTGTAATCTTTTAAACTGGGTTTTAATACGGCTTTCATCAATATACAGAGCGATTCTTGAAAAAGGTTTATATGTATAATATAGGACCACAATGACATTTAGGTACATATACCAAACTATATATTTTTTTACCTTTTTGTCTGTTTATTTTAGATAGATAGATAATCAATTTATTTTAAATGCAACACACAACCACATTATACAGAGAATAAAAATAAATAAAGACATTATAGAAAAAATATCAACTTCGAATAAGTCATGTACCTATGTGTAGCAGAGAGAAAGGGTCTAGGCTCAGTGCATTAAAATCACCGAAATGTCGGTGAAGCACTGATTTTCAGCCATTACCCCAACTGACTCGTCTCAGTTCAGGGTCAAAATCAAAGAAAAGGAGTCGAAAGAACAAACATAATGTAATGTCAGAAGCATGTCAGATAGAAATATGGTCAATGTTATAATAATGACAGAAAGTAAATAATATATATAAAATCAATAAATAATACAGGCTAATAGAATAATTTAAAACTACCTCTAAATGCTGTCGTACGGTGAAGATAAGAAACTAATACAGGCCGAACAGCTCTCACAGCAAATCTACTAGATGTCGTAAAAAAAATAGTTTATTGTAGAAGTATACAGGCTGACGATTCTTTATAATATTAAATATTAGACACGCGTTATGTAGTTTCACACGAGACTCCATTCGGAGCATATTTGCCGAGTTTAAGAATGGAGTAATATGACCTCTAGGAGGTATAGGAAAATAAAATCTAAAGCAAGCGTTCTGAACTCGCTGAATCAGCTTTCGAGTCCTGGAAAGAAGCCGAAGGCCAATAACCACATCAATTTTACGGCTGATTATTGAAACGATTGAACCTATTTTGAAGGGACCTTAGTTGGTAGATAACTGATGTAATAAGAAGTAACTTAGGTTACATTCCACGTGAACGAAGTCACGGGCACAGGTAGTTAATAATAAATGAGCATGGGGACAACGAATAAAAAAGGCAATGCAATGAACTCCGAAACTACACTACCGATTACAAACTTTCACATGTAATCTGTAATTTGGTCTAACTTATTATTAATCACCAACATCAATAATATTGTGACTAAAAACTAAAACGAGACTACAGAAATCTAAGCGAAAAATTATTTTTGTAAATTTCTGTAGTGTATTGTACAATGAAGTGTAAATAAAATAAATATTTTCAATGTAGAAATTAGATCCTATTATAGCACAGCGCAGCTACAGGTTTTTTTTCCTTTGGTGCAACATTTTTATACAAAGCGTAGCATGCGTAGTAGTGGAACAATACCTTAACGATTACCGATTTGTTGATTGCAATCACAAAATTATACCTCATGTTATTCATGTATTTGAACTAATACCAAGAAAATACATTGACTATGGGTAATTGATCGGGTCTTGTCAACTTAAGGCTGCATCTAAAGAGAATTTCTTTAAAATATGTACAATAAGATAATTAATGAGATAGATAAAAACAGAGGATGTAGATTCACGCACAAAAAACTATTTTTAAATTATTACTCGCAAACTATTTACGATTATTGCGTCTATATTTTTTTAAACCAATGAATTATCTTTTAATACTAATTATAATAATTTTCTCATCATCATCATCATCAGCCATATTAACTACAGGTGCTCGGGCCTTATGCACGAATAAGGATGGCTAATGATCCTCCAACTGACCCAATGCGGATTGGAAGGTAGTAATTGCTTAACGAGCCTTCCGAAGCACGGAATAGATTGAGATCATAAACATTATTTAAACTAATAAAATATATTAATGTAACACATAATAGTTATAGATGACTCCATTAGTAAGAGAGTCTTACTAGTCAAGTCACGAGGCCTGGCTTACTCACTCTAGTATAAAAGCTCATTGGTTAGAACCCACAGAACACAAAAAGACGTCTGTGGTTAGAACTGGTATTGGTCCTTTAACAGCATATAACGAGGTTTAAATTAAAATAGACTGCGGAAAGGGAAACAACTTGCAGGAAATGAATACCTATCTTAGTGAATACCTATCTAAGTAAGTTATTTATCAGCGGTGACGTTTTATTATCGATAATGTTAAATAATGCTAGGGGACTCCGCGAACTTTATGCCGCTTTTTAAATCTTCTATTATTATAAAGAGGAAAGATTTGTTGGTTTGTTTCTTTGCATTGAATAGTTTTCGAAATTACTGGATCGAGATTAAAAATACTTTCACCAGCGGGAAGCTTATCTTACCTTACTGATATTGAAACAAGACTCAATATAGATTTTAATCGTATGTTCCGTCATCTATTCTGCCCAGACAATGCCATGGGCCATATTAGTTAGAGCTTACTCTAAGATATGTTGAAGAGTCGGTTATTGAAATTAAAAAAAAAAAAACTTTTTATAAAGACTAAAAAGAGTCTGTATTCAAATTATTGTACATTTAAAAGTAATTTTAGAAATGTATAGCAAGAAATTGTTAGTATTGCTTTAACTGTAACTAAATATCTAGCTTATCTGTTCTCTTACGTCTTTTGTTTTAGAGAATCGAACAATGGACGTCGAAAATGCGAACTGCAAAGTGCGCGTCTCACAGTGCACTGACATGGAAGTGATACCAATCAAGCGTCCTCTGAAGATCACACAGTGAGTGCAACAAAAAAAAATTAAACCGACTTAAAAAATATCGTTTTAAAGAGAAACAATTGAAAAGATAAATAATACCACAAATTATTTATCATAAATAAAATCGAAACAAAAAAAGTGGATACACCAACAATTTTTTTGAGTGTATTACATTATGGTACTCTGTTATTTAGAGATGTTTTGGTTAAAATTTGCAGACTTTTTGGCTTTATGTGAGTATGAGAAATGTGAAAAATTAATGAGAAGAAGTTGCCAATATATGATAATTCCTTTGTACTCGTATTATTATGTACACTCACAGGCACAATTAACCCTCCTGTATCATTCATCGCCCTGTTTGGTTCCGTCAACTATGATTTATCAACTGTTTTGTTTTTTGTTAAAAGGGTACTCTAGCAATAAATAAAACACTTATACCACCCTTTTCTTTCCTAAATTTGTATCACTGAAGGGTTTTCGGAATTTAGTCGCTGTTTTACATTGTTGCTGTTGTGTTACCGAGGTTATATTTCCTGTTATTTTGTATCATAGTGGGCGAATAATGTTTAATTTGAAATTAAAGTGTTTGCTCATTGTTTGTGATTGTAAAAAATGTCACTCGATGCAACTGATGTAGTTAGGGCAGTGGCTTTAGCTGATGCGCATTCGTGCGTCGCAATGCTCTCACACTCTGTGCACCTCGAACTACGATACGAGATGGCATCAGATGATTTCGGGAGGCAGGTTTATACATCCGCAGGCCAGGTCAAGGCCGAGGTCGATGAACTTCTACTCGAGATGACCGTTTTATTGTCACCAAAATGTTGAGAAATCGCTTTTCGACAGCTACTGAAGCTCGTACGCGTCTTTTTGAAGTAATTTGAGGGTTTTTCGTCCAGTTCGCGCTCCGCAACTGTTCCCACAACACCGTAGAGCTAGACTTTATTCTGCACGAGAATATGCTGACTGGACTGTAGAGGAATGAAAGAACGTACTGTTCTCAGATGAGAGCAGAATAGCCTTAAGAGGTCTAGATGGACTTAAGCGTATCTACCGGCGTAAAAATGAGAGGTTTGCTTCATGCGCATAACTGAAACAGTAGGTTACCAGGGAGGGTCCATAATGGTATGGGGAGGTATCTCTTATGGGGCTCATATTAATAACTTCATTTTCATAAGTTTTTCAACTTTTAATGTAATTTTTATTCGAGCTAGGTTGCGAGCCATTTTATCGATTCACATAAGCGAACACGTGACCCAACAGAGTTATTAAAGTGGTAATAAACTTAAAAATGCAACTCAAAGTAATATAGAAACTATAGTTGACACTGTGGGATCTATTAATAGGGGAAAATTACCTCTAATATACATCCCTAAGGTTTACACAGGAGCTATGTATCCCATTAGGAGTTTGGTTTTATAAAAGAGTTAATAAACACACTTATAGAGCTAGTAGCGTTAATTGCTCCCTTTGCGCAACTATCAGCGCTACAAATGAGTTTATAATAGCTGGCGTAGAACTTGAGGAGAATAGTAAATGATAATTTCTTATATAGATCTTATAGTGGTAAGAATCGCTCAAACCTATAACACAGAAGCTTTGGTCTGTATAGTAGGGATAATAATCGCTGTTGTACGCCTTTAGCCTCCATACATTGCTCTTATAGACTTGCTGTGTCACTATAAGCGTTACATTTTATTACTTACTCTCTTTTGTCACCACAACCTATAATAACAGCCACTAATCAACCTTTATAACACTTAAGGTTCTAAAGTAAGCTCTATTTGCAGCTGTAATGTTAGTTGGGCATGATATACTTTTCGCTCCGTTTATTGGTGACAACTTCAGATTAATGCATTACAACGCACTTTGCCAAACTGCAAGATCCGTCAGTGAGAACCTTGATGAGGTCGAGATTCAAGTTTTACCAGGGCCCGCACACAGTCCTGATCTTAACCCAATAGAGCACATTTGGGACAACCTTAATAGATAATATTTTTAAACTCACACGATTTGTATACATTATAATTATATGCAATCGGGTCTTGTTCGTGCATTTTTTTAAACAATTAATTTACCTCGACGTTTCGGCTACGTTACAGCAGCCGTGGTCACGAGGAGACTGGAGAACTGGCGGGTGTCGTCTTCTGATTTTAGTTGAGGGTAATCAGAAGACGCCACCCGCCAGTTCTCCAGTCTCCTCGTGACCACGGCTGCTGTAACGTAGCCGAAACGTCGAGGTAAATTAATTGTTTTAAAAAATGCACGAACAAGACCCGATTGCATATAATTATAACCTTAATAGATGTGTCCGAGCAAGAGTATCAGTCCTTACAACCATAGGAGAGCTAAAAACGGCTGCAGTAGAGGAGTAGCACAAAATACCCCAATCGGATATTCAAGACATAATGGATGGATTGTCAAACCGGCTCCAAGAAGGGCCAGAGATGGCAACACCCACTGTTAATTTTTATTGTTCTTTTAATTGTCAATTTAAAAGAAAAATAAATTCTTCTTCAACAAAAATTTTAAAATTTTCATTGAAGATTTTCAAAATATCGATTTTTGGTTTAGTATAGTTTTTAACATTCCTATCATAAAATATAGTTTAAGTTTGGCGATTTCTGCGACTTGAAAGAAACAGAAGATGGGCGGTTAATTGTTCCCGTGAGTGTATAATTATATATTATATAGACAATAACAAAACAGATCACTTTTATATTATAACAGGATTATAAAATAACCTACAAAAAGACCACAAAGTATAGTAATAATTTATAAGAATCGCGATGTTTTGTTTTAAGTGAGCGACATCCGTTTATGTATGTAAATTAATTCGAAAACATACTTTTCCAGTGAAATTACCGGTCTAGAAAAGCTAGTAGAAGAACTACACAAGGTGTTCTCAAACGAACGAGTGAATGTGCAAGAAGTTCAGAGTTTGATGGCAGGATACAAATCTGACCCGAAAGACTGGAAGAAATACGCCAAATTCGATCGGTTTCGGTAAGTTTTATTGCTTATAATTAAGATAATTATCTTAAGCAAGCTGAATCAAGTCTAAATGCTTTTTAACTCCTGTACACGGGTACATTTTTATCGATCTATCTAACCGTACAAGACGCTAGATTGACATATACTGATAAAATTGCAACATGGAAATTTCAGCAGAAACCAAAGAACATTTAAACACTACTTTTGCAGAAACTTTCAGATAGTGATTCATTATAACGTGGATTTCTAAAACTTTATCTTATGTCCATTAAAATTTGATTTGAAACAAAACAGGAAATAAAAATCTATTAATGAGTTTCATGCCATTTCTTATCAGTACTTTCGATAGCGTGACTTTAGAAAAATATTTTCAAGGACAATATACGAAGCCGAACTAATGACTGAAAAAATTAACATTGATATTATTAATCAATTACATTTTAATTCTTGTCTTCAGATAATTTTTAACACTGATATTCGTTACAGACAGGTAGGTATATGTTAATATATTTAATATTAATAAGATGAGTGATATACGAACCTTAGATTTCTAGGTAACGAACATTATTAGAATTCAAAATGGCTTTTTAAAGTTATTTACTTCAAGACGGCATTTTGAATTAGCATTTGCACACACACAAAACTTATAAAATTAGATCATATGATTGCAGACTCCTTGACAAAGCCTTTTTTGAAAGGAAACTATAAATGGTGTACGCAGATGATGGGTGTTGTGTGAAGTGTGTGATTGCCACGGAACGGAACGGAATGTCAGTAAAGGAATAAAATTAAGGAGGAATGTTAGAGAAAAGAGTTTTTGAAGACTACATATATTTTTGTGGAGAATTATTAATCGGACGACAAAATAATATATGGGTGACTATTAACGAGATACTTCAGTACTAGTACTTAACTGAAGGGCTTTAATTATGTGTGCGAAAAAATTTACTAAACTGTTGATAATTATGAATGATTAAAATTAATTTAAAAAATATTGCAAGGTGTTTCGATTCTTCTGCGCACTAAAACGGTAAGAAAAGCAACTGGACTATTCTATGAAGACATGAGCGTTATACACAGAAACAGCGGTAGATTTTCCATAATTGGTTCCATCTATTGGGCAGGCCTTTGCCTCAGCAGTGGGGACGTTGATAAGCTAATAATGATGTTATAAAGGTGGATGCTTACTGGAAGATTTTTAATTAAGATTCACTTAAGACTCCAGTATAGCAGGCCAGTGCGCACACAGTACCCTCGGACCACGTGGGCGAAGCCGCGGCTTACAGCTAGTATTTTTATATGCCAAGACTTCGTGGGGTGGATGAGTTAGATATACTGAACAACTTTTACTGAATCCACAAAATATGTAAAAGTTATTCGGTATAATACTGAACAATTTTAACTGAATCCACGAAATATGTAAGCGTTGTTCGGTATATGTAACTCATCCATTCCACGAAGTCGTAGCACATAATAATATTACACCTTATTTGATTAATGTGGTTTTGCTACAGATACACCAGAAACCTGGTGGACAGTGGTAACGGTGCGTTCAACATCATGGTGTTGTGTTGGGGGCCAGGCCACGCATCAGCTATACACGACCACGCCGATTCACACTGTTTCATGAAACTCCTGCACGGAAGCTTGGAAGAAGTAAGGTAACCAGAATTCTACGTAGTGTAATTTTATCTGCCTTCGTCTGTGTTGTAGATTTTTTAAATATAACTCGTTATTTTCATCTTCTATTCGTCATCGTCAGCAAAAATTTGAAGAATTTCTAATCGTTCTCATGATTTTGTGAAAAGCAAATCCGTGAAGATTATCATTGCATTATAACCTCCGTTGCATCAGAAATGATCGAAAATGCGTATATTTGGAGTCCTATTAGCATTTAATTTTATTATTTGACTATATTCCAGACAATTCCTTCTAAACATTCCTAAATAGTCTATCTATACTTAATAATATTATAAAGAAGAAAGATTTGATTATTTGTATTGAATAGGTTCAAAAACGTATGAACTGATTTTATAGATTCTTTCACCTACATGAATCTTCACATTATACATAGGCCATAATTGTCGAGGGCGAAATTGCGACAAAGCAGAAAGTAGAATATCGGAAATACTACATTTTATTCATATTGAAGCGTTTTTTTTTTAAATATTAATTAAAATAGTATGTAGTAAGTGTGATTATTTAGACTCTGAAACAATTTAAATGTAAGTATATTTTTCAAAATAGACCCATTAATTGACAATTTAAAAAACCGTTGAATCATTTGGGAATTGCAGTAGGCAGTTCAAACTCGTCAATACCTTATGGAGGAGGACGTAAGCGACTCGATGGTGACAAACACTAAAATATTTTAATACTAGCTAAAAAGATAAAAAAAAAAAGATTAAGGCCTTTTTAAAAGAGATAACGCGAATAATGACGTCTTCAAATTATTACAAAAACACGATAACAAATAAAATATTCATTTTGTTCATAACGCTGCGATAGCAACAGTTATCTGAGGGTAAAATGACATATCATAAAAACAGGCGTGTAAATAAATTGAAGAACGAAAACCATTTGGTCTCCAGTTGCTATCCTATGATTATTATTATCTAGATGTTGCAGCCAAGTGGTTTAACCAGCCGACTAGTTGGGCAGCTAACGCTTTAATTGAATGGCGCCATTCAATTACCATTCAACAAGACGGCAGATTTAAAAACCGCCATAAACTTCATTTAGTTTTGTTATCTATTAAAAAAACTTCAATATTTGATACAATCGCTACGCTCCACTTCGCGATTGTCTTAAATTTTCAACCTAACTATATAACATCGTTGTTTGGTTTTGTTGTAGCATCAAACTTCGAAATCTTCAGAAATCAATTAAATGGCTAGCCGCCAAATTGAATGGCTATTTTACATCAATTTAAATATTCTTTATATTATGAAGAAAAATATTAGAAAATACTCACTAACTCTAATGTGCTTCAAAGAATATGTAAAACTATACAGCTATCCAGCATTGAAGTCGAGTGCATTTGATTCAAATCGATGTATTGTATCGAACAGTAACATTATTGAAGTGCTAACAACACAGTATTAAATAGAGTCCATTTTAATTAAATTTGATGCCAAGGAAATCGATATAAGTGCAGTTAGTTACATTGTACACTGGGTCTCTCTTGTAAATTGCTTTATATGAACTTCAAGTTAATATTGACTAATGAAGCCATTTTTCGGTCGCAACCATCGTTGCCCATTTCTGTTGTGAAGGTTTTTTTTCAAAAGGTTTTTGTATATTTTACCTATTATAATTTTAATGGAGTAATAGTTAAATACTATGGAAGTATTAGATTAGATTACGGCATTAAACTTAGCACAGGGAAATCCACAATCCATAATGCGAAAAGTTTTCCATTGACCATCAGCTGATATTGCAGCTAAATTTATTAACAGAGTGATTGATAATTTGTCGGCTTATTTGCATCATTTGTTATTATTATAAATAACGATATGACAGATAACTAATACGAAACATTGTCGAAGAGCAAAACATAATAAATAGCTTTATCTTTGCAATATGTAAAGATTTTAGGTCACTTTATTTATCGGTCTACGATTCGATGCGTAATCTTCTTGGATTGGGGACAAATTGTTTTAAGTGCGTTCATTTTTTAATAGGATAAAATATTGGAGAACCCAGGTTCTGGGCCAAGGTAACAAATCAGAATTCCGAATTAAAGCCAGGGGTGCATGGAGCGCAAACTCTCTTCCACTCTGACAACAGCTAGGGATCATTTACACGTAGCCAGTAACCAAACGAAACCAGTAAGCCAGTAAAGTAAAATAAGAAACTGTTCTTTTTCATGGGACTGGTTTGATCTCGCTTCGCTTTGTTCTATAAAGACTAATTATATGTTCAACCTATGTCCTACAGATTTTGGAAGTTGTATTTATTATTGTGATAATACATACTATTTTGGTAATGACATGATTTATATAAATGTCATTATTTATGATAAAGAGCTGGTAAGTTTCTTTCGCTTGTTCTTCTTGTCAGTTAAAAGATGTCCTGAACAAGTGGTAGGAGAAAAAAAAATTTTTTTGGACGATTCAAAAGTACTTGTAATAGCCTACTTGAATAAAGATATTTTCATTTCATTTCTCCATTTACACGAGGCCATAATGGGTTGGCTTATTGGATTGTCTCGACTATTGATCTTGTGTAAATGGACCATTATAGTCAACAGTAAAGTACACAAAATCCAGGGCACAATCTACCACAGTATACACGACTGCACATCAAATTACCACAATGTCCATGTCACTGTAGTTGATTTTAAACTCTACCCCAATGACGTTCTATTATAAGACACGTCATACCCGTACATTATTTTGTTTTAAAACAGCACAAACTTTATTGTGGTAGCGTAACATTATAAAACAACCACAAGATATCAAAAATATTTATCTCCCTATCAGAATCTTCACCATACCTCTTGTTAGAACGAGATAAACATACTTGTATGACTTTACGTGTCAACTGCTGCATCCTCATAGAACACGATGCACGGAAAAATAGCCTTGCTCAATGGCGTTTTATTATGTTTATTAAAATAAAAAAGAGTAAGTACAGCACTTAGGCATGAAATTATATCTTTTCCTTTTATCATTGTCGACATGTAACTTGTTTAAACACGCAGGAAGACATTTTTTCACAGCAAATGACGAGTGAAAAAGACATGGTGATAACGCTTGTTGAAACGTGATTAAACTGAAACACAGGCTATTGCCCGCTTTTTTTTTGTCAATGTTGTGCGCAGATAAGCCATCTAAACTTTTTAATACATCATTACTCTACCCTCAACACATTAAGGATTGAAATCGAGTGGAGAAATTTGACAGATCTATTATAACGTGACATGATTTTAACTGTAAATTCATGATGTGGATGAATGGTGTGAATGGATAGTTAGTAATACAGATTGAAAGTGTACAGAGGAAGGTTTCATTGGAAATCGCGTAACGCATTTTTCCTACATAAAAAAAGGAATAGTTTCTCGTAATCGTAAGTGAAAGAATTTTTGAAAATGGTCCAGTGGTTTCAGATCTCCTTCAATGTAAATAAACATACAATCAAATCTTTCTTCTTTATAATATTCGTATAGATATAATTTTGGTGATAACTTTTTATCACTTAAAATACGGAATAAATTTTGTACAATCGTTAAATAATAATATGTTTGTCCTTTTATAAATACTACAGAACTAAATGACAAAACTTACATTCAAGCCCTTCAACATGTATGCTAAGGATATAAATGTTTATACATTTTGTTTGTATTATTTTTTATTATAGATACGACTGGCCATCTACTGTCGAACCAGAAGTTAGGAGGGTTCAAAAAAATAATAACGTACAACCGTGCTGTTGTTCCGGAAGTGACAAGGAAATCGTCGACAAGATGGCTGATCTCGACATGAGTTGTCAAAATGACAGATGCCCAAATTTCGGCAGAAAAATTGACGAGTACAGAAACGGCGAAAACGATAAATGCAATGAGGAAGACGGTCTCGATTTTGAGCAGATGGAAGAAATAGGAAGGACCAAATTGGAAGTCAATGACGTTTGTTATATAAATGGTAAGATTCCATTATTATGTACTTCTTTATCTGTCTATCTTTATGCCGTATATAAACTTAAAAAATAAACCAAGGAATTCTCAAGAAAACAGCCATATTGAACGACGCGCACACCATTTTTCAAGGTTAAGCACCTTTGCGGTCCCATGTTTGATTCCCAGTCGGGTCAATATAGAAAATGACCTTGTCTTTGTTGTCTCGGGTCTGGATATTATGGTACCTTCGTTGTTTTATAGTTTCATAATTCAAGTCATGATCTGAACCGCTATTAATGATATGTATACATGGTTATAGGTAAATCACCAGCAACCTCGCTGGATTAGATAGTTAAAATAATCAACCAACTTTGAATGAAAAATATTTTTAACTTTTATTGGGTAAGGCTTTTTGAATCTATAACTCGTAAAAATTAACATGACACCTGAGGGACTATAGTATTTGTCCTCGAACGAAAATTCACAAAATTTTGAATCGATTGATATTATGAAAATAATGTCCGTGAAGATTATCTGTGCATCAAAGGCATAGGTTACATGTTTTACCTATATTACATGATAAATTATCGAATAATACGTTTCTATGGAGTCGTATTAGCATTCTGAAAATAAACGAAATTACTTTTACGGAGGAATAGAATAATGTTAATTCGTACCGATAGTCACTTTGTGTAATCGTGGTAAATAAGTTTTATTTGTGTCAATTAAGAAGAATCACATTCTTATTTCTACTTCCAGATGCTCTCGGCCTCCATCGGATGGAGAATCCTTCTCACGTGGATAGTGCTGTCTCGCTTCATCTTTATTGTCCACCGTTTGATAGTTGTCGAGTGTTCGACGCGCGTACTGGAAAACCTACGCAGGTCAAAGTAACCTTCTGGTCAGTCAACGGGAAGAAAGTTAAAAAGGTCGGTGTCGAACCATTATATTTAATTAAATACATATACAGTGACATCTGTTCAATAGTGCCTGAGAGACAATGAAGTTTTATTATAAAAATAGGTCTCGAAATCAACTATAAAATGTTGCAAATAAAAAATATCTAAACTTCTTGGTTGCAACGCACTATAAACAATTTTTAGTGTTCTGTCAAATGATCTATAGTTATGCACTTCGATATTCTTATGGATGCAAGTATTAAAAGTAAATTATATTTCGGAAATTATAAAAAAAGTCATCTGCTATTTTCGGCTACTCGTGTTTGTTTATATATCTAAGTATACAAAAAAAAGTGTTTTTATCCGTAAACTGCACTTATTTATTATTTTACGTGTAAGGAATAAACATTGCTGTCTATGGTCTACTTCTATGTCATTTCCGGTCATGATTTGATGAACACAGTATCGCCATCTAGTGACATTTTATTGATGTAGCTACTATTTTTAAGTATTATTTCACTGAAGTTTTCTAGCATATTTCTTATTATTTTTTAGAAACGTTATTAAATCTTCTTTAATCTTTTTCAGGTGATCGCAGCTAATGAAATAGTCGATAGCCAATAACAAAATAACAACAGCGTGTGCCACATTCCAATATTTAAGTGATTTTTGAAATAATGTTGATATTAAGAATTTATTTTAAATATAACTCTAAATTATTTTAAATTGTATACATACATACACGTGTAGAATTTTTATACTCGAGAAAATTTATACACAATCTTACATCGATTAAAATCATATTCGCTGTATAAAGCTTTGATGTAAGACAGTTTTAGCGACATCTGTCACAAGCTGAACTAAAAGTTATTGTAGTTGCAAATATAATGGTTGATTCCTACGTCTTTTTAATAAGTAAATAACTACTACAAAATGGTAGACAGTGTCATTTTCGCCTATATAATTTCCTTAGTTTTTTAAGTCTTTAACTATTCATAACAAGGTTTTTGACGCCACTTAACATTCTACAACAATATAAATACAATCTCCATCGGTTGGTCATGATCATGATCTAACCACATCCAGTTGGAGTAAAAAAATCATTGTACATTATTTAACTAGCTTTTTGTATTATACATGTAAAATTTTTTCTTGACTCACTCTGTATATTTATAAAACCACTTAAAAAACCATTGTATAATTTAGAAGATCTCAACATATAGATAGCGGGAAGCTACTTCGTTTGATAAAGCGAATTGGAATTTTCTTGTCTAAACAAAAATTGAGTGGTATTTATGAAATAAGTAAAAAAAGTTTTGATATCATTGTATTTTATTTATTTACAAAATTATACATAAGAGATAAATAATAAAATTTTATTATTTCAATTAAGACTTAACGGTGCTTTTCTAAAATGTGTTTTATTTCATTGTCAACCTTATCCCAAGGTAAAAAGAGCTTCAAGCCGCTCGCCTCGGCAGTTGCTTGGACCTCATCTCTATCGCAGTTCGCGTTGCATATAAAATCGCAAGTGCTCGTCTTATCATTGAAATGTAAACCTTCGGAACATGTGACTAAGACAGCTTTATCGCCCTCACACCTCCAGAATTTATCACAGTCAGTTTCATGAGCCCAAGGAAGGACGTTGCACTCCTTGCATTTGTTATCATTATCACCGTTATCTTCACCACTGCCATTATCAACACTACCGTTATCTCCATCTCCGTTATCTCCATTTCCGTTATCACCACCTCCGTTATCGCCATTTCCGTTATTATCGTCATCGGATTCGCAACCAGCATTCCATGGCCAATCACATACCTGAAACATATATAAAAAAATAATCAGTTATTTTGTACATCTAATACAATATGTCAACAGTTATGTTTATATTGTAGGTACAGATACAAAAATAAAATAAAAGATTTTTTGAACGGCTCATAATCCTATTGTAACAATTATCTTTCCGGGACTTTAAACTTTAATTTCTAATAATATAAATTAATAGTAAATTGACTTATTTTAATTATTTAAGTATTCTCATAAGTAAAATTAATGTTTGTTGATTATTATTTAATTTAAAAATAATTATAAAGAGGACAAAATTGTCTGATATTTTTGTTTGCAAAATTATTCCAATAGGTTCTGAAATTATTGGACCGCATATAAAAATTCTTTCAACTACCTGAAAGCTCTATCTTACGTTGGTGATATAGATTATATTTACACGGATAAAGTCACGGAAAATAGTTAGTACATAACATGAAGGTAAAAAGACTAAAGGAAAAAAGGTAAAGGATACAAAATTTCAAAATTATGAGAAATTGAATGGCAACATACTTGTAAAGTAGGATTGAAGTGTGTTCCTGGCTCACAAGACCTTTCTTCTTTCTCTCCGAATACGCAGTAGTAGAATTTGCTGCAGTTTTTATGTGGCAATAGTTGATGGACATTGAAATCAGCCGGACAACCATTGGGGAGAGTTCCTCCATTGTCTCCATCCTCTCCGTTCTCCCCGTCACCACTTCCACAATTTCCCCCACTACCGCCACCGCCGTCGCAGCTTCCGCCATTTTCGTTATCGTTATCATCACTAGACTCGCAACCGGCGCTCTCCGGCCAATCACAGACCTAAAGACGTAGTTTGTTATAGCTATTCCTTGATACATCTAGTTTAACTTTAATTCAACAATACATGCGTATTTGTAATGAGTAAAAAAAAGAGCGATAGTTTTTAAAGTAATAGTAAAATTATTCATAATTATCTAGTTGTATATCTTTTGTTCTATTTTTTTCTATATATTAACGTAAATAACAATTAATATTTATATAGAGAGGACGCGCAGAATACATTTTTTTAATAATAATGTACAGAAAATGCATTTAAATAGTAAAGTAAACATTACGCATACTATCCACTAAAACCTTACATATTAATACGTGTTAGGCACTTTTGTTGTCTACTGAATGCAACTAAACGTGAAATAATCTTAAAAATAAAAGATTTTGTTAAAAAGCTAGATACGATATGATGTTATCTATCGCTTATCAACTTTTTATCTCAATTTGTTTATTTCCAAAGAGATGATTGATGCAAAGTAGCCATTCAAATAAGTAGTAGAAGAAGACACAAGATACTTAAACCACAAAAAAAGTTATCATGTTCGAAGTTTATGGTCTAATTTTGCCTGTCGGAATATTACAGTATAAGAGGAGGTGTACAAAATTAATTTGTTTGTGATAATATTGCGCACATATGTAACTGCGTTAGTAACTCAAAATTGGGTTATAAATATTGTACCTGTAAATTAGGATTGAAGTGTGTTCCTGGTGCGCAAGAAATCTCTACTTTCTCTCCGTTTACGCAGTAGTAGAATTTGCTGCAGTTTTTATGTGGCAATAGTTGATGAACATCGAAATCAGCCGGGCAACCGTTCGGGAAAGTGTCACCGTCACCCTCTTCTTCGCCACCTCCACAATTTCCCCCACCACCGTTACCGCCGTCACAGTTTCCGCCATTTCCGTTGTCCTCGTTTTCGTTACCATTATCATCAGTTGACTCACAACCAGCATTTTCTGGCCAATCACACACCTGAAAACATATTTATCAAACATGGTTATCATAATTATATGATATATAAATACAATATTATAATTCAGTCCCGGCAGATATTGTTCTGCAACATGCAACCTCTAATGAAAAAGAAGGCATACCAAAAATAATTCTAACACGCTTTTGTTTTGCTTTGATTGACGTTAAAGAGTGGTTTGTACGGAAAAATGAATTGTTGTTTTTACTATTTGCCTCGTATTTTTTACGTTTTTCCTTCTATAAGAACTTCATCTAACAGAAAAAAAGAAATCAACCAAATCGGTGCAGCCGTTCTTAAGTTTTGCGCTTAGCAACACATTTTGCTATCCATTTTTAGGGTTTCTAGGGTCTGTTTGTCTGTTACCAGGTTTCCCTACAACAAATGTGATTTTTTTGCTCGTTTCCGGTACGGAACCCTACGTGCTCGAGTCCGAATCGCACTTGGTCGGTTTTTATTTATATAGATTAAATATTAAGTTAGTTTTGATTATAGACAAGTATATAATCAAAGAAAGTTAGATACTAGATAAATGTTTCCGTGTCGCTATTTTTTACTATTTTTATTGTCATAATTATTATTGGTACCTCACAATACGTAAAATGTAATCTAAAATCAACTAAAATAATTGTATATCTCATTTGTCACGGAATAAATTTGTCCATTCATTCATTCATTCAAGTCAATTAACTATAATTTTAGAAATAATATGCTTTTTAATAGAAGTTTTATTACAATAATTCCAGAATTTGCAAGCGATACTATTTAATATAATATAATAAAACAACGGTCTGGGAATTTAAATTATGAATATGTATTAGAAAACAGGTTTTTCTTCTTTTTTAGAATTACTTGTTTGGTATGATACCAATTACAAAATGTTTAAATAGAAACGCTATAAAAAAAATTGTTGTAAAAAAATGTTGCTTCGAAAACAGCTAAAAAATTAAAATGAAGTCGTATAAGGAAACCCAATTTATTGACACCATATCATCTAAAACGGCAGTTTTTGTCTATAAGAAACATATAATTATTAAAGAATCGAGAACGTACATCTATAGTGATATTATAAAAAGGAAAGATTTGATTATTTGTTTATTTATATTGAATGGGGTTCCGAAACTACTAGACTGATTTAAAAATTATTTCACTTACGGGAAGTTACATCATATGCGTGTAACACAGGTTATAATTGACGCGGGTGAAGTCACATGAAATCAGCTAGTATCTATAATGACTAGGGTTAATTACAACCCTACGACAATAGAATTTTTGCCATTTGGTTAAATATTAGAGTAACTTATGTGTATTTCGAAAAGGGTTATTTTGACAATTTAGAAGTAAAATAAACCAAATAAATCTTTAATAGTTATTTCAAAAGTCAATCACGTTCTAAATTTAATCTATACATAGTATATCATAACCCTGGTTTTAGCTTCGCCGTAGTCGTGTAAAAATAAGGAAGGTTTATATGTGTAATACAGTACAATGACTAAGCCGCTGACGGAAAGCTATAAATTTTATATGTAGGCGATTTAAAAATAACTATTATTTTTTTATGTATATACCCACCTGTAATGTGGGGTTGAAGTGTGTTCCTGGCGCACAATTTCTCTCAACTTTCTTCCCGAAGTTGCAGTAATAGAATTTGGTGCAATCAGCGTGTGGCAGTAACTGATGTATGCTGAAATCAGCTGGACAGCCATTTGGTAGAAGGCCCGAGTCAGAGGGTTGGGTCGTTGTTGTAGGAACTTGGGTAGTTGTGTTGTTAGTTGTAGGAGCTTGGGTAGTTGTGTTGTTAGTTGTAGGTGCTTCGGTAGTTGTGTTGTTAGTTGTAGGTGCTTGGGTAGTTGTGTTGTTAGTTGTAGGTGCTTGCGTAGTGGTGTTGTTAGTTGTAGGTGCTTGGGTAGTTGTGTTGTTAGTTGTAGGTGCTTGGGTAGTTGTGTTGTTAGTTGTTGGTGCTTGGGTAGTTGTGTTGTTAGTTGTAGGTGCTTCGGTAGTTGTGTTGTTAGTTGTAGGTGCTTGGGTAGTTGTGTTGTTAGTTGTAGGTGCTTGGGTGGTTGTGTTTGAAGATTCACAACCAGCATTTTCTGGCCAATCACAAACCTGAAATGACGTGATAATAAGTGTTTTAACAATTAATTTTATATATTTTTATTACCTCGGAAAGATAATTCAAACTAGCTTTAAAATCAGGGCGTCATATTAAATTTAATATTTAGCATTGTAGTTAAGACAAATAGATGTTTTGCCAATTTGGTTAAAGATTAGGGTATATTTTATATCCATATATTGAGAAAAGTTTTCATAGTAAATTAGAAGTCAAATAAACCAAATAATAGGGCTAGTTGTTTTTTTTATATTTTATAAATTAATTGTCCATTAAGATCTGAAAAATAATGTACAAGTAACAGCCGTCTGCGATTAATAGATCGTTTATTTAAAAAAATAATAACCTAAATTAATGAGTAATAAATATTGTCTATTTAAGTAATAGTCCAGGCTAACCTAACAGCTAAACGCCACAATACTTATGTTATTTAATTATGGTATACAATAAAATATTAATTTTTGTTGACCTATATAAAGAGGAAAGATTTGATTTTTTGTTTGTTTGCGTCGATAAGCTCCGAAAATACTAGATCGATTTAAAAAATTCTTTTATCTACGGGAAATTACATAATATGTGATTATTATAGGCTATATTTTATTCCGAAAAACAGCAAAATGGGAGTATAAGATTGTATAGGGAATTAAAACGTTATCATAGTAACCATTGTTTACTATTAAATTTGTCATTGTAATTATATACCTCTCATGATATTAAGCGATATATAAATAAACAGTTCCCTAGGTACCACCCGGGCGAAGCCGCTGGCGGAAAGCTAGTGTTTTATAAAACAACAAAATATTTATTATTTTATAAATATATGTAATCGGGTCTTGTTCTTGCATTATTTTAAGACCATTAATTTACCACAACGTTTCGGCTACGTTACAGCAGCCGTGGTCACGATGAGACTGGAGAAAACGTCGAGGTAAATTAAAAATTTAAAATAATGCACGAACAAGACCCGATTACATATAATTATAATGTATACAAATCGTATGAGTTTAAAAATATTATTAATTATTTTGTCAAAAAATACCTGTAATTTAGGGTTGAAGTGTGTCCCTGGCGGACAAATTCTCTCAACTTTCTCCCCGAAGTTGCAGTAATAGAATTTGCTACAATCAACGTGCGGCAGTAACTGATGTACGCCAAAATCAGCTGGACAGCCATTTGGGAGGATTCCTGAGTCAGGACCTTGAGTGGTTGTAGTTGAAGATTCACAACCAGCGTTTTCTGGCCAATCACATACCTGAAATGACATTACAATTTATTGTTAACACAATTATTTTCTAAAATTGAAATTGATTCGGCTTGTTCCTGGCTATATAGTTATAGTATATTTTTTACAAAAATATACGTGTATTTTAAGTTTAACAATAAATGAAAGTCCACTGACACGGTTTTAATAATATTTACTTTTGCCCAGATAAGGATTGTATTGTGTTTAGGGTTATTGTATGGGTATATATATATATATAAATATATATATAGTCTTTTTATTCCGCCATAACTTTTGAGAGACATATGGCCCGGTCAAATAAGATTCAAAATTAGGGGTAATGTCATATTAAATTTAATATTTAGCATTGTAGTTAAGACAAATAGATGTTTTGCTAATTTGGTTAAAGATTAGGGTATATTTTATAAATTAATTGTCCATTAAGATCTGAAAAATAATGTACAAGTAACAGCCGTCTGCGATTAATAGATTGTTTATTTTAAAAAATAATAACCTAAATTAATGAGTAATAAATATTGTCTATTTAAGTAATAGTTCAGGCTAACCTAACAGCTAAACGCCACAATACTTATGTTATTTAATTATGGTATACAATAAAGTATAAAATTTTTGTTGACCTATATAAAGAGGAAAGATTTGATTTTTTGTTTGTTTGCGTCGATAAGCTCCGAAAATACTAGATCGATTTTAAAAATTCTTTTATCTACGGGAAATTACATAATATGTGATTATTATAGGCTATAATTTTATTCCGAAAAACAGCAAAATGGGAGTGTAAGGTTGCATAGGGAATTAAAGCGTTATCATAGTAACCATTGTTTACTATTAAATTTATCTTTGTAATTATATACGTGTCATGATATTTATCGATATATAAATAAACAGTTCCCTAGGTACCACCCGGGCGAAATCGCTGGCGGAAAGCTAGTGTTTTATAAAACAACAAAATATTAATTATTTTATAATTATAATGTATACAAATCGTATGAGTTTAAAAATATTATTAATTATTTTGTCAAAAAATACCTGTAATGTAGGGTTGAAGTGTGTCCCTGGCGGACAAATTCTCTCAACTTTCTCCCCGAAGTTGCAGTAATAGAATTTGCTACAATCAACGTGCGGCAGTAATTGATGTACGCCGAAGTCAGCTGGACAGCCATTTGGTAGGATTCCTGAGTCAGGGCCTTGAGTGGTTGTAGTTGAAGATTCACAACCAGCGTTCTCTGGCCAATCACATACCTGAAATGACATTACAATTTATTGTTAACACAATTATTTTCTAAAATTGAAATTGATTCGGCTTATTCCTGGCTATATAGTTATAGTATATTTTTTACAAAAATATACGAGTATCTTAAGTTTAACAATAAATGAAAGTCAACTGACACGGTTTTAATATTATATACTTTTGCCCAGATAAGGATTGTATTGTGTTTAGGGTTATTGTATGTCATGTTGAGAGACGTATGGCCCGGTCAAATAAGATTCAAAAGTAGGGATAAGGTTATATTAATTCGCACAAAGCTGAAAATTGGCATGAATGTTTGGAACACTATTAAAAACAATTTGTCAAAAGTTAACCGACGTGTGCAAAAATATATTTTAGGTCGAATGTTAAGACAAAAATTATTCATATGCGATTATCTATAAAAACTGTCTCCACACTTTTCTTAAGAATCACTATTTCGGAGATATAGCGATGCAAAAAGATGAAAATGTAGTATTTTTCATAATATGGATGTCAAAAATATTAGTTTTCGTGACATATACCTACATTGGTCACGGATGAATTTGATGTCGTTAATACCTTCCAATTCACATTGGGCCAGCGTCGAGGGTCATGGCATATCGTCTTTAACCATCCATATGAAAGGCCTGAGCCCCTGTAGTGTGGATTTAAAAGAAATGACGACGATTAATACGACTTGTTTCTTTCATTTTTAATTTGATATGGACATACAGTATTTGTTAATTTTTTTTTTCGTTTCGTGGTTCCCGAAAAGCGGGTTTTGTGCGTGTGCATTTTTATTACTAGTAAGTATAGTATATAATAAAGTATTATACATTTCTCGAAAGTGAAATTACCTGTTTTGTAGGATTGAAGTGTGTTCCTGGACTACAATTTCTCTCAACTTTCTTCCCAAAGTCGCAGTAATAGAATTTGCTGCAATCAGCGTGTGGCAGTAGCTGATGTACCCCGAAGTCAGCTGGACAGCCATTTGGTAGGAGGCCTGAGTCAGGGGATTGGGATGTTGCTGTAGGGACTTGGGTAGTTGTAGGTGCTTGGGTAGTTGTTGTGGGGGCTTGAGTGGTTGTGGTGGTTGGAGCGTCGGTAGGTTCCTCAGTTGTAGTAGGCGGCTCAGTTACTTTTTGAGTTGTTGTGGGGGTGTCGGTAGTTGTGGGGGCTTCGGTAGTTGTGGGGGCTTCGGTAGTTGTGGGGGCTTCGGTAGTTGTGGGGGCTTCGGTAGTTGTGGGGGCTTCGGTAGTTGTGGGGGCTTCGGTAGTTGTGGGGGCTTCGGTAGTTGTGGGGGCAACGGTAGTTGTGGGTGCTTTGGTAGTTGTGGGTGCTTCGGTAGTTGTGGTGGTTGGTGGTTCTGTAGGTTTCTCGGGCGTGGTGGGAGGCTCGGTTGCTCGTGGAGTAGTTGTTGGAGTTTGGGTAGTTGTAGGGGCTTGGGTAGTTGTTGGGGCTTGTGTAGTTGTAGGTGCTTGGGTAGTTGTGGTTGTTGGTGGATTGGTGATTGCCTCAGTTGTAGTGGGAGCATCAGTTGTGGGTACTTCGGTACGTTGCTCGGTTGTTGGCGGAGGTTGCGTAGTTTTTTCTGTAGTAGTAGGTGGACTACCAGGCAGATTACAGTTAGCTAGAACCGGGTGTACGCACACCTATAAAAGTATTTTTCAATTCAACAGACTTACCACAGAAAATATTTACAACAGAAAATGTTACTTATATATGGAATATTTGTTATTCGTGCACAAATATCCTATGGCTTAGTATCATTAATAGAACATATTACCGATTTTTGTATTTACTAACATTTTCATGTTTATTTCAGTAGTAGTGAACAAACTGTAGGTATATTGACAAAAAACGGTCATCGACATCTGTGTACTTTAGGTATCTAATAATAAGCAAAATATTTATGGACATCTGCTTTTATTTCTTTTCTTCTTTGTTAAAGTAAAAAAAAAACATGGATATGAATCTCGTTAAATATTTGCGTACTAGCTACAATCAGACTTCAATGTCACTTATTACTGTACCTTTTACAGCAAAAAGTGAGATTAGATAGTAAAGGTATAAGTCAGGTGAAGTTTGGGAGGGAATGATGACGCATATTTATTCAAAAGTAAACAATGGTAAATGGTAATTTTTTATTAATTGGTAAGCATGACTACACAAGGACAAATGACATTATTGACAATGGAGTGATAGTGGCTATGCTTTGGACTTTCCGTAGGATAAAAGTAGGGGAATCATATGCACGGAAAGTCAGTGCTGTCATGCCACGACGATGTTAATTAATTATATATCAAGAGTTTGTATTTCACTTCTAACATATTCTAAGCATTATAACCAGTCGTAGTTCCATAGGCTTGAATAATATTATGCGCTATTAACCATATTCTTACTCAGGGTAGGGAGGAGAATGTCGCTCACCTATGTAACTCTGTCTAAATGGTATGTAGCAACACTCGACGTCACGTGTTCCATTTTAACAGTTTAAGGCAGAAGACCCGGCCCTGCCACTGCTCCTTTTCTGGCCATTCGGAACCTCAAGGCGTTAACTAATGCGTAGGCAAATATATTACCTTACCGTCTCGTCAGTTTTTAAAACCTTTAATTATGGAAAAATCAATACCGTCCAGCTTTAAGGTGTTAAAGTTCACTATCTCGTAATTTTTAAAATGGCCCAGACACGATCTTTGCTTAAATTTCTTTTCTTCTTTGTTAAAGTAAAAAAAAAACATGGATATGAATCTCGTTATATATTTGCATACTAGCTACAATCAGACTTCAATGTCACTTATTACTGTACCTTTTACAGCAAAAAGTGAGATTAGATAGTAAAGGTATAAGTCAGGTGAAGTTTGGGAGGGAATGATGACGCATATTTATTCAAAAGTAAACAATGGTAAATGGTATTTTTTTATTAATTGGTAAGCATGACTACACAAGGACAAATGACATTATTGACAATGGAGTGATAGTGGCTATGCTTTGGACTTTCCGTAGGATAAAAGTAGGGGAATCATATGCACGGAAAGTCAGTGCTGTCATGCCACGACGATGTTAATTAATTATATATCAAGAGTTTGTATTTCACTTCTAACATATTCTAAGCATTATAACCAGTCGTAGTTCCATAGGCTTGAATAATATTATGCGCTATTAACCATATTCTTACTCAGGGTAGGGAGGAGAATGTCGCTCACCTATGTAACTCTGTCTAAATGGTATGTAGCAACACTCGACGTCACGTGTTCCATTTTAACAGTTTAAGGCAGAAGACCCGGCCCTGCCACTGCTCCTTTTCTGGCCATTCGGAACCTCAAGGCGTTAACTAATGCGTAGGCAAATATATTACCTTACCGTCTCGTCAGTTTTTAAAACCTTTAATTATGGAAAAATCAATACCGTCCAGCTTTAAGGTGTTAAAGTTCACTATCTCGTAATTTTTAAAATGGCCCAGACCCGATCATTTGCTTAAAAGCGACATTACTCGGTGAGCATCATTCCCCTCCCTCTTTTACAAACCTACCTGTAATTCATATGAGAATTCAGTGCCTGGGGCGCAATCCCTCGGCGTCTTCCATTTCACACCGTATTCGCAGTAGTAGAACTTCGTGCAGTCATATTCATGAGGCAGAAGCCAATGACGTTGATCTGGTGGGCATATGTTCGACGCACCCGAATGCGTCTCTGTGTCATTTGGGCGACCGTGAGCAAGCGCAAAAGCTGTTAATACCAGGAGTTTACCTGCGGAAATACGGTTTAATTTTTGATTGCGTTGTTCCTTTAGACATGTTAATAATGCCGCATTATATAATGAGAAAACTGATCAACAATTCGAAAGTGGAGATGCACCTTTAACTATGAAATCGGTCGTGTGGTGGTGTCAAAAGTAAATTGAAAATTGAAACTAAATTGAAGAAGTTAACTTAGAAGAGGTAAAAAATATATAAGGACCGTGCTTTGTGGAGACCTCTCCTATCCTGAAAGTGCTTGAAGATATAGATAATGAGTGCTCATAAATATAAGGATAGTTCAGTCAAAGTAGATATTTCAATTTATAATGCTTTTAATTTCCGCAATGTATTTTGAACTCTATATTCAATATTTCGTTCTTGAAACTTCGTTAATTTGTGATGCAACTAAGGTAAGATCTGACACCCATGATGCAAATAAAATTATTAACGACTTTTGTAAACAGCAAGTTTTATTTTAAAATTGGATCAGAGAATACTGACTGTCGTGAAATTGTATACAATAAATTTTCCTTATTTTTCCCAGGAATCAGTGTGTCAGTCAATATCAGTATGTCATTGCCAAAACACATATCGATTTAACTATGTTATCAAAATTATGTGTGTCATTAAAATATTATCTAAATATTTGCCTTTCTTCATTTTGGTTTTCATTTAGTTAGCTAAATGATTTCATTGATATTATTTAGCTTAATTATGGCACTGCCCTTTTTAAAAGAAATCGCGGGTAATAGTTACTGGAATTTAACATCATCCTTATCAGCTTATTAATGATCCCACTGTTAAGGCACTGACTTACTATTATTATGAGCGGCCCTTAAAAATATATGTTTTAATTTATTTTAATAACTTATACTTAACTTCATAACAGGTGCAGCCCAATGCGCTAATAATAAGATAAGCTTGTACAAGGGGAGGCCCCTTTGCTTATTTATTGCTTTTAAATTCCGTGATAGCGATGATCCATTTGATTAAATCGCGATATTTATTTATTTGAAACCAACAGCGTTACTCATGCATTTATAACCGTTATTTAACTTGAATAGTTGATTAAGATAAAAACTATACCCCTTTATTTTAAGATGGAGACTACAGTTTGTAATTCTCTTAATCAATGGGCCACCTAAAGCAAGTTACGCATAGGCCAGCCATAGGATGGGTGACCAAAATTTTACTATCTTAAGCGACTCGGTTCTGAGCCGTTGGTACCGACGGCATCTGACTCGTTAACAACCAGTGCTAGGCTCACGTGGTAGGTCATATTCATAATTTTATTTCTTTTTTATTCTATCCATAGTTGGGTTCTAGCAATCTTAATAGACATTGATAGTCTAATGATTGATTTTATATCTCAAAGAGAAAAAAAACCTTATCTTTCTAGACAAGTTCAGTAATTATTTTATGAAATTAGATTCAATAATATTATCAAACTTTATGACGACTGATTTTGGAGGAAATATACTCAAAAATATGAAGAAAAATATTTGAGACTTAAGAGTCTATCCAACAATTAATAACAATCGTTAAATAACTTTTAATATAAATCAATTAACACTTGGTTTCATATTATTACAAATGGGCAAATAATACTCTTTAAGCGATAAATAGGATTAAATGATTATAAATTATTATATTTGATCAATTGTGCATTTACAATGCTATATTGAAAAATATTTTTAGTGAAAAATATTTAAAATTGTTAAATAAATATATTAATTATTATCTAAATATAGGTAGCTGCTCCAAAATTTAATTTTATGCTATGAGTAAAAATCTCTACAAAATATAATGCTTCAATAATAAATCTATAACAACTTAAGAGTGGTTCTCACGTCGGCTTCAAGGTTCGTTGTCTCAGATACTCCAAATAACGAGGCGTTTAGCTTACTTATCTTGAAATAGGAGCAATGTATGTACATTGCATGTATGTATGTGATGTTGTTTAATATTTATGAATTGTAAAAATGTTACATAATTCATTTCCTGACTACAAAATAATATTTGAGTGTGACAGTACCCTTAGAAATCTACTTCTTTATTTAAAAATAGCTTAGTAAAGTAAGTGAGAGTTGTTTTTAACCAAACAGGTTGAAACACAATTAGTTTGAGTATACGCTATATTAAAATATCATTATAGCAACATCACTAGTCAAAAATTTTATTAAAAATATAAATAAATCAGAACAATGTTACACTTATTTTCTCGCAATATCCACTTAATAACACTTAGATAATTAAAACCACATACCTAACATGATGCATCTGTAGATACTGAATATTTTTACACAATAAATTTTCACTGGCACTTATTAGGAGATTTCAGGTGTTAATGCTCATTATTTTACAGTTACAATCAAATTTATATACTTAATAAGCTTTTTACAGATAATGTCGATATTTTTTAACCTCACAACGAAATATAAGAGGTAGCGGGCGCGTGTAGCGATAAGAGAACACATATTTTTATTATTAAAATTTCTATGAAAAATGTTTTCACTATCGATAAAAATATTTTATTAAATAATTAACAAAAAACAAAACAAAACACTCAACGTTTTAAAGAAGCAACTAACCTTCATTCACTAATAAAAGTAACTGTTGAATGCAAAATACATAATTGAAAACGTAATTAATTGATAAACAATTAAATAGTATTTAATCAGCTTAATTTGAGAAATATGGGATTCTTAAAATGTTTTGTTTTCTAATTTCTTTAACATACTTCGATTTTGCATCGCTGTAGTTTATTGTTGTAGGTATATAATTATTGAATTAGCCACAAAAATATTTTTAATTAGTAATGTAAATGTGACGCAATAATGTGTCATTAGAAACCGTTTGATTGTTAATTTCAATATGGAATTCAATTCCAAAATTACTTCCTAAATATTTTTATTCGAGTTTTTTTCAAGATCTATCTATCATAGTTATTAAAGGCTTGCAGATATTTATACTAACGATACTAAAAATTTAAACTATACGGTGTATGACCATTTTTGATGAAAATATGGCATTTGCTGGCGTAAAAACCAATCGGTATTTTTTGCATAAAAATAATGGCATTTATATATAAAAATCGGTTTTTAGGCTGACAATTAATCTTTTGGGAGACATTATAACGAATAATTTTTGGGGTGTGTAAATAATGGCGTATTTCCTTAAGTCGTACATATAGAGAAAACAATCTGTTAAAAATGGTATATATAATTAAATATTACCAAAATAATATATACACCAAATGTCAATGTCAATTAACAGATGAGGGCGGTGTAGGACCAGTTGTCGTCGTGGCGATTTTCAAAGGAGGTCTTTGACCGGCAGTGAACGTTCTCCAGTTGATACGAGGGTCAAACTGAAAGTTCTTAGAAAATCAAAAACTGATTACATTAGCCAGTTATTAGTTTTATTATATCTTTTCAAAATATTGTCCATTCACGTCAATACACCGCTGCATGCGATGGAACCACTGGGAAAAGCACTTTGCCCACTCGTCCTTAGGGGTCTCTTCAATGGCATCGCGATACGCAGCCACCGCTTCTTCAGCATTCATAAACCGCTTTCCTTTAAGTTTTTCTTTAATTTTTGGAAATAAATAAAAATCACAAGGCGCGAGGTCGGGGCTATACGGCGGGTGACCCAGTAATTCAACGTTTGATGTCGCCAAATAGTCGATCGTTCGCTTGGCGGTGTGCGACGAGGCGTTGTCGTGGTGAAGGAGGATCCTACTGCGAGGTCGTTTCTCTCGAACTTTTTCCAAGACAAGTGGCAAACAATTGGTAGTGTACCATTCTGCAGAAACTGTTTTTTGATCCTCTAACACAATTGTTGCAAAATGACCTATCCTTCCAAAGAACGAGGCCACCATTTTTTTTCCCGCACTTCGATCTCTCTTCACTTTAGTTGGCAACTCCTCGAAAGGAAACACCCACTGAGCAGATTGTCTTTTGGTTTTAGGATCATAACAGTAAATCCAGCTTTCGTCACCTGTTAGTATGTCGAACACAGCATTTGAGTCACCTCCGTTAAATCTTTCAATCATTTTACGACACCAATCCACACGATGGAGTTTTTGAGCCTCAGTCAAATTATGAGGTATCCACCGGGCGCAAAGCTTCCTGACCGCTAAATGTTCGTGGAGGATTTTGTGCACTTGACTCATACCGATGCCTAAGCTTGTCCGAATCTGTTGATAGGTCACTCTTTTGTCAGTCTCTATCATACGCCGCACAACACAAATGTTATCTTCAGTCGTCGCCGTAGAAGGCCGTCCCTCACGTAAATCATCAGTGAGATTAGTGCGACCACGTTTAAACTCATTAAACCAGTTGTAAACTGTCGCACGAGATGGGGCTTCATCGTGAAAGGCCAATCGTAGTCTATCATAACTTTCTTGTTGACTTAAATGACATCGAAAGTCATAAAAAATCATTGCACGAAAATTTTCTCGTGTTAAATTCATGATGACGTGACACAGACAATTTTCAATTTGCCGCCAAATCGTAAAACAAATGACAAATGAATGAAATATATACTCAGTAATATTGGCAAAGACTTATATTTTCAAATTTTAGAATTATTTTTTTATTATATTGTTTATAAGTGGCCAGTTCTAAGAACTTTCAGTTTGACCCTCGTATAAGGACGACGTAAGATCCTCGTTACGTTGTAGCTATAATGTTTGTTGTATGTAAACAAACACTTTAACTACTACTCGTACGAATAAACATGACACTTGAAAGCCTAATCCATTTCCCCGAAAATGGAATTTCGTCAATGCTTTACATTTTTCGATAATTAATGATGCAACGTAGGTAGGACCTGACACTATCTTTTATGCTGTGGTAATATTAAAGGATAATATTAAAGGATAGGATATTAAAGGATGTAATTTAAACAAAAAATATAAGACGATGTGATTTTTTGAATTTTCGTTCGAAGACAAATAGAATAGGCCCTCAGGTGTCATGTTAATTTGTACGAATTATAGTTAACTTCCTCAAAGCGCTTCCTACAGTGATGCGAAATAACACAAACCAGGGAAATGTATAAGGTAAGGATGGTAACTGCATAATAATTAAATGAATATTCCTCGATAATCGTGTGTATTTAGATATGCTGCTTATCAAATATAAAGTAAACATTTTCCTTAATAAAATTAATGGTACCCATTTTAACATTTGATTGAATAAAAGGAGGTCTTATATGTTCGTCACGATTTCTAGAATTACATTAAGTTATTGCTCAAATAACTTAATGTAATTCTAGAAGTAACTCGGTGGCGTAGTGGATAAACGCCACGGCCCGCGGTCGTAGTCGTTAAGCAACTTTCGCAAGGGTCGGTCACGGGATGGGTGACCAAAAAATGTTTATCTCGAGCTACTCCGTGCTTCGGAAGGCACGTTAAGCCGTTGGTCCCGGCTGCTTTTGCAGTCGTTAATACCCTCCAATCCGCATTGGGACAGCTTAGAGAGGGTCATGGCCCATCCTCCTTAACCATCCATAAGGGAGGCCTGAGCCCCTGCAGTGGGGACGTAAAAAGGCTGGTGATGATGATGATGATGATTGCTCAAATCGTTTTATCTAATTCATACGTTTGGACTAACCATGTGAAGTGACATGTTTATTGTAAAAACTAATATTGTTTGTTTCACAAATATAATAAAATAAACCATTTGGTCTCACTATACTGATCTCATTCATTTTAGTTACTTTTTACAATAGCCAATGTTGAAACCTAAAATATCTGCAGGCAATGTTGTTGAGATGTTATCATAATTTTATTTGTTTAAAAATCTATTAAAACGAGTGCAATTCTATTTAATCCGTCAGTTAGATAACAGAAAAATATTAGATACATATATTTTTGCTAAAATGTAAACACCAGAAAAACACCACCAGAAAACAAATCGAAAAGCATTTCGTAGATTATTTTGATTGATACTATGATTCACGCGAATGTTTCAAAGTGACAACTACTTTTTTTTTTACTGAACGACCAATAAATAATTGTATTTAACTTTAGTAGTGTTAAAACAATACTGATCCTTTTATCTATGGATATCGATCGAGGAAATCATGTTGTTGAAATTTAACGAAATCTTTATAACATTGTTTTTTTTTTATATATTTTTATTGTCTTCTAGTGATAACGTGTTACTATGCTTGTGGTTATTAATGTAGGTTCGATTAATATATTCCGACATTGGTTTTTATTCGGGACGTATCCCAGCTTCTTATATTTTTCAATAGTTCTATCTCAATAGTTTT